GTGTGTGTGTGTGTGTGTGTGTGTGTGTGTGTGTTTGCTGTTTTCCCCTATTTGGCAACATACGATCTTTTTCAGTGTGAGATCTTTTCGTCTTCTACAGTTTTAAAACCTTCCCTAGATTCTTTATTCAAATATTTCTTTCTTTCATCCTTTATCTCCCACGGGTTTTTGATACTCATCGGTTAATACATCTTCTTTTCTCATCACTTCTGCTAACTTCTCTTTGATGTTTAAATCTCCAAAGCTTTCCAGGACCTGCCATGAGAATTCCTCACTCTTCTTACAGCTCACTGGCCAGCCATCTTTTATCACACGTGCTGTGGTCAATAACACTTTTTAGAACTAGGTTTACCATTTGGCTTTTCTTTTCCAATGGATCTTCCTCATGATCCACATAGTTCATGTCTCCCCTCACCCCTTTAGCCAGATGATCATAGGTACTTAGAGTTCCCATGGGATGGGCAGTTCCCACAGTTCTGCTTCACAGGCTTCTATTGTTGGGTGTGTTGTCATTGTTTTAAGGCAGTGCTTCTACTAAGAAGCCTAGTTATTTGGCTCATGAACTCAGATTCCACAGGGCGTATTAGACACAGATCTGGTAATGGGGAAGAAAGGAAGGCTAAATCCTCTGCCCATTGAGAGTTAAAAGTGAGAGGAAAAAGCCCTATAGCAGGCAGTCCCCAACCTTTTTGGCACCTAGGACCTGTTTTGTAGAAGACAAATTTTCCACAGACCCGGGAATCAGGGGCTGGTTTCAGGATGATTGAAGCACATTATATTTACTAGGCACTTTATTTCTATTATTATTATTATGTTGTAATATGTAATGAAATAATTATACAACTCCCATCATGCAGAAGCTGTGGAATCCCGGAGCTTATTTTCCTGCAGCTGGATGGCCCCATCTGGGAGTGATGGGAGACAGTGACAGGTCATCAGTCATTCGATTCTCATAAGGAGCATGCAACCTAGAACCCTCATGTGCACAGTTCACAACTGTTGAAGACACTATGAGAATCTCATGCTGCCACTCATTTGACAGGAGGCAGAGCTCAGGCAGTGATGCAAACTATGAAAAAAGGCTATAAACAAGATGAGCTTCACTGGCTCACCACTCACCTCCTGCTCCGCGGCCCAGTTTCCAACAGGCTTGGGGACTCCTGCCCTAGAGCACAAGACCCTAGGGACCGCCATTAGCTGCCATGCTTGTCCTCTGGTTAGGGTTTCACCTTGAAACTCCCTAACAGAGAGTCTGTTAGTAATCTACCCACCTTGGAGTTTGCAGGAGGAGAGGGCTGGGGAGCAAACGCTCTGCCAATTGGTTGTCTGTTTTCATCAATCGTCCATGACTTTTGCTGTGCTTCATGGTCCCCTGGAGCGCCTGTGACCTAGTCTACGGCAGCCTGTTCCCACAGTGAGGGGAGGCCGTCATGGCCTCCAAACCCATGACCACAAGGATAGGAGCAGAATGTGAGAGTGCTCCTCTCACCTTTCTCTTGCTGACCTCTCCGGCCACCGTCTGCCCCAGGCTGTGTCACTCTCTTCACACTCACCCTTCAACACACAAACACAGCCTCCAGATTCCACAATTTCTGGGTTCCATTTTGTCTCTTGACAGAAATTCATGCTGAACTGTCTTTTTCATGGTTCCTCCACAATTAACAACCTGCATCCTCTTCCCCGTTCCTCTCTATCAAACTCTCAGTCCTGGCCCGGGGGCTCTATAGCTGAGCCCTATGGCCCAACTCACCAGAGAAGGATCCTTGGGTGCCCTGGACCTGATTCCAAGGTTCAGGAGCTACTCGGGCCCTCTGTTCCCAAGACCTCCCTCCCAGTGGCAAAATCCCTGACCTACCTGGTCTCAGAGCCATTGACGGAGGGATGGTCAGAGGTCCCCTCTGGAGAAGTGATCAGAACAAAGAAGGACACAAAGAAGACAGTGATTGGCCAGGGGACCAGAATAGAGAATGGGATAAGGTCCCCAAAGTGTGAAAGGAATGGGAGAGGGGCCAGAGGCAGCTCCTAAGGATCCCTCAGGCTGACGGTAGCTGAGGCCTGAGATCTCTGCAACCAGTTAAAGTCAAGCCTGGCACTGTCCTCTCCATGGTGACAGGAGGCCAAGAGCAGGATGGCTGGGACATGTGTGCAAGGTCTTCCATATGGACTCCCCTCTGGGGACACCCACCCATCATTATGAGAACATGGAGTTCTTCCTAATCACATCAGATGGTTCATGTTTCTCTACTTAGGCGACTGCGGACCCTGAAGGTAGCTTCCCACCAGCCCAGGGCCCGGGAGATCAGCCCCCAAAGTCAGGCCGCCCTGGTTTCCCCTTCCCTGAATCTGTGGCTCCCAAGCTACCTGATGACCCCTCTTATGTCCCCCCATGGGGGCTTCCAACCTATCTGTGCTTGTTGGGAGCCAGGTGAGGGTCCACACAGGAGATGTGGTTGGGGCTAAAAAGAAAAGACATCAGAGAGTGACTCTCCAGGGGTCCAGAAGAGAGTGGGGTCTACCCCATACATGAGAGGAGGTAGAGGGCCCAGAGCCAGACCCTCAGGGTGCCTTAGGTCAGGAGTGGCCTGTGCCTAAGATCTGCGTGCCAGAGCTGTCAGTGTGTGTGTGAAAAGAAGAGTTGTGGGTGTGCCTGTGTAACACACAGGGAGACTCAGAGTGACAGAGAGACAGTGTCTCTGTCCAGAGACCTCTGGGGGCATCGTGCCAACAGTCGGGGCCAGGATGTGCAGGGTGAGGCAGAGGTGAGAGGCTGTGTCTGACTGCGTCTCTGTTCAGGGTCCTCTGGGGGCATCTTGC